CCCCAGCGCATGAGGTGCTTTCCGTGATAGTATGAGAGGGCTGTATCAGTTATTTAGTGCCTCGAAAATGCAGCATAACTGACCAACTCCCAAGCTCATGGCCTTAAAACCACAATCGTGCATTTAGCTCACAAGCCTGCAGGGTGCTGGGTTGCTCTCTTCTTCCCCGGCCTTCCTCACATCTTTGTGGGTCAGCTCTTTTCAGGCGGGGCAACTGAGGCAAATCAACCACTTTTTGCGTGTCTCATACCCTCCAGTGGGCCAGTCCAGCTTATTTTCGTGCCAAAAGCATACGTGCAGGAGCCCCAGGAGAAATGTGAAAACTTTTTTATAAAGCCTCTGCTTAACTCACAGCTGCTAACAACAACCTGTGGCTCAAGGCAAGTCATATGGTTGGGGCCAGAGTCGGGGTGGGGAAGACAATCGAAGATTTCATGGCAAAGGGTGTGGATACAGGCAGGGGTGCAGAATTAGAACTCTAAATTTATTTTCCTTTTTATCTCCGGCTCCCTGTGATATGACTGTTTCAGTTCCAGTTGCCAGTGAATATTAAGTTCACCAATGAGCATTTGTTATGGGATATAAGGGCCACCAATGTGGCACTCTGTGTTCTCCAAAGGTGGCCACACCTATACATCTATCCCATCCCACAAGATCTTCTTACAACGTGACTGGAACTCTTCCTGCCGAGAAGCCAGGCTTACATGCCCCTACACACACACCTTGAATCAGGGGGAGCTTGGGATGGCCCTGACAAAGCGAACACAGCAGAAGTAATACCATGTGACTTCCAAAGCTTTGGTCATAAAAGGCGATGCTGCTTCTGCCTGGCTCCCTTTGTCTCAAGGTGTTTGCTTTTGGAACCCAACATGATTATGTTGCAAGGAAGCTCAGGCTACATGGCGAGGTCCTCTTGAAGAGGACCCAAGGCCTTCCCCCAACAGCCAGCACCGGTGAATAGACAACTCTGGAAGTAGTACCTCCAGTCCCAATCAAGCCTTTAGACACAGCAGCCTTGGCTGGCATTTTAACCACGACCTCATGAAAACTGAGCCAGAACTCCCTCAATAAGTCACTCCCAGGTTCCTTACCCACAGAAACAATGAGAGATAATAAGTGACTGCTGTGTTTTAAGCCACTAATATTTGAGCTTATTTGTTACGTAGCATTAGCAGACTACTACAGACCTATTCATGAGGCTTAGGACAGAATGAGAATAAACGTAACCTGGGACCTTAAGGGACCTCCAGTTTCTAGGTGAGTGAGCAGACACTAATGGAATCAACAGCATACGCCTTATTCCATTTGGGCTGCTGTAACAGAATACCATAGACCAGGCAGCTTATAAACAACAGACATTTATTTCTCACAGCTCAGGAGGTTGGGAAGGACAAGAGCTGTTGTCTACTAGGAGCCCACTTCCTGACTCATAGACAGCCATCTTCTTGTGGTGTCCTCACATAGCAGAAGGAGCAAGGGAGCTCCCTGGGTTCTTTTTATAAGGACATGAATCCCATTCATGAGGGTTCCACCTTCATGACCTAATCATCTCCCAAAGGCTCCACCTCCTAATGCCATCATATTGGGGGTGAGGATTTTAACATACGAATTAAGGGGTGGGGAGACACAAACATTCAGTCTATAGCAATATAGAAAGTGTTACAGTCAGGATATGCGAGGGTTGCTAAGAGAAACGGTGAGTCAGGGATAGAGCGACCATATTTTCCCAACTGTAAATTGAGGCAATTGACTCTTGATAGCCCATTGTAGTTTGGAATTGGAACGAAATATTTAGATAGGGTCTGACCAGGATAGTCAGGTTGGTATGGTCACTTTGTCTGGAAACTTTTCTGCCTGGTGGGCTTGGTATGATTTGGAAGGGCTCTGTGTGATGATAGCTACTGTGATAGGGAAACCGGGAACTGCAGGAATGTCTCCAGCCCTTGTCCTCCCCCTGCCTAGGAAACAGGGATTTACCAAGTTACCGTCTTCCCCTCCCTGCCCTCCAGGAAGGGTCTGGCCTTGCCAGGCTGTGTATTTCCTGCTTTTGTGTTATGAGTCAGGAGGAAAGGGGAGAGGAGGAGGAGGAGGAGGGATGGGTGGCGAGGGCTGGAAGAGGAGTCTGGGAAGTAGGAATTCTGGAAACGGAGGAGCAGGGTTACATTTGGTATGCAGAGAAATCAATGAAAGGAAAAACAGTCTTTGGAGAAGTACTGTTCCGACCTGCCCATCCGTTTCCTAGTATTTGAGAATACATACAAATAACTTGAGTTATTTTGAAATGTTTTCCGGTTGCCAGCCTGAGTTTATGCGATGGCATTGCTTTGAAAGTGGACCGGGTGGGTGGGTGATGGCTTACGAAGTGCTGCTCTGCGATTTCATAGCACAGAGGAGTCGGGTGTGGTGAGTGGTTCTACGCGTAGGAGATGTCTGGTCAGTGGCTGTGAGGGGAAGAGGCCGGATGCTTCTTCATTTGTTCATTTGTTCCAGGTTTGGACATCAGCATGACTTATGACCTGAAGAATTTGGGCCACCCCAGGCCCAGCTCTGTCCAGATGTGTGAGAGGAATTCAAAGGCTCAGGGCCTTTAGAGGCCAGTTTTTCGTGGTGTCACTGACCACTCTGGCTGTGGCCCCTGGAGCAGCTCCCAGAGGGGCGGGTTTTGGCAGGAGCTTGTCTCTCAAAACAGAGGTTGCCAGGGCGGCAGGGAGAAGCAGGAGGTTTGCTGGGCCCTGAAGAGGAACTCAGAAATAAAGACAGGGAAGGTGACCGTGTGTGTGTAAAGAGCTGCCTTAATTTCCTAGAATTTCCCAAGGGATTGTGAGTTCCCCAAGGGCAAGGGCTGGTTCTTATTCATGTTTGTTTCTCAGAATTAGCACGAAGCCTGATAGTTTGTAATTGCTCCATAAAAAAATGTTAGAGGGCCGGCCGAGTGGTGCGTTGGTTAAGAACTGGCTTGAGACGCCAGAGGGCCCTGGTTTGGATCCCACATATGAGGGCCAGTGGCACTGCCCTCTACAGCTAAGATGGTGAATGGCAGCTCGACCTGGGGCTGGGCTGTTGTGGGTCACCGGCGACGGCGTAGGCTGCAGTCCCCTGCTGCACTGGGTTGCCATAAGCTACCGTTTGTAGCCGGCAGCCAGCGTGAGCGGCCATCCAGAGGCCAGCGACTGATCTGCCTCGCCCAGGAAGAGTGCAATGATGGTGCCAGCTTGGGCCAGTGAAGCAACGTCCTCCACAACTAGACTGAAGCACAAAACAACAGCAACTTGTCCGTTCCCCTCCCCCAATTCCCCAATTAAAAAATCTTAAAAAAACCAAAAAACGTTAGAGAGGAAGGAAGGAAAGGAGGAAGGGAGGGAGGAAGAGAGAGAGGGGGGAAAGAATGTTACTTGGTTCTGTTACCTCTCTTCAAAATTAATTGGCTACCTAATTAAAACATGACATGGTTCTGGCTGACATCTAATTTCTCCTGGAGGCAGAACTGGTGTACGGGATCCTGATTTCTGTGCTGTTTCTAGAATTCTGGAGTTCAAGTCCTCTTGTCTCCTCTCATCCAGCCATGCCTCCTTTCTCAAGTGAACTACGGAAAGAATGATAGGGAACCCATTTGGAATCTGATAGACCTGGATTCAAATCCCCATTCCATCACTTTAGCCATTGGACCACAAGCAGGTGACTTAAACTCCTTACCTAAGTTTCTGTTTTCTGTAAAAGAGATCACGACCTTGCTGTTGTAAGGGTTAAATGAAAGACACGTCTGAAAGCCCTTGCAAAGCGCTGGGGCTGCTCAGCTCTCCCTTCCCCATCACTTTCCGCTCCTGATCTGACTGTTCCTTACACTTTGATCTCGACAAGCTGCCCTCCTGTTCTTTCCCCCTTATCTCTGGCCCTGTTTCCTCCTGACAGCTTCCAGATGTGGTCACCGTTCCCTGGCCTCATCTGTTTCCCTGAAGCGTCTCTCTCACTAGCTTTGCTCAGCCTCCGTGATAAGACTGCTGCAATCTCACTCCAGGGGGCTCATGCCCTGAGATTTGAGGGGCCAGCACAGAGCCCAGAGATGAGCCACAGGGGTAGGACTGTCCAATCAGTGGCTTCTGGGGGGTTATCACCCGTCTCCTGTCAGCAGCCACATACAGCCTGTTATTAAGAGCGGGAAATTAAAAGCAGGTGCTCCTGCATTCCACGGCATTTCAGGGTTTTGTCTCAGCCCCAAGGATCCCATCCTCCCCAGCCTTCTACCTCATCCCCACACCCTCAGCCTCAATGGCTTCTCAGCCGCTGTCCCCCTGACTCTGCCCCCGCCCTCTGGAGATGGTGAGCTGCAGGTGGACAGAAGCCTTGGTTTCCTCTGGCATCATCACTCCTATCTCCCCACCTCGAAGGTGGGAGGATTACACAGGGTGCCCCAACCCCCATATGGCCATGTAGACTAGCTCAGAGTAGCCTGCTTCTCTCCTAAAGATTGTGCTGGGATGGGCCTACCAGCAGGGGGTGGGTCTCTGCCTGATTTGCAGGACAGCTCCGGGGTGGGGGTAAACCTATCCTGATGATGAGTGTGCCGCACTGTGAGGCAAAAACCCCAGAAAGCCCAGGTGAGTGGCCTGAGGTCAGGGTGGAGAAAGGACTCGATCACAAGAATGCCCAAGTCCCACCCCCACGCAAAGGCGGGAACAGCACGCCATGAGCACAAAGGCTTCAGAGCCCTCTCCACTGGATGGGACACAAACCCTCAGGAGGGAGTGAAATCAAGGCCTGTTTTCTGTCCACCGTGGGGCACCAGTGCACTGCAAGGAGGGCCCAGGAGGAGCTGCCAGCGTGGCTCTGTCCAGGGTGAGGAGCTAGAGGCTTGGTAGGAGCCGCATGAAGATGCCCTGGCAAGCTCCCGTCATTCCAGAGCACAGAAGACCAGGAACCACTGGCTTGGCCAGAGGCATCAGGCTGGCATCCAGCCCCGGCGTTTCCTCCCCCTCTCGGCCCCTCCTTTCTCTGTGCTCTTTCTGCATCCTGGGGCCTAAGGTTCAGCTGGAGCTGCCAGCCCACTTTTCTGTGGAGTGCTGAAACTGAAGAGCAAAGGAAAAGGGAGGTTGTCAGCTAAGAGAACTTTCCACTTGGTTTAATGTTGCTGGAAAGCCAGATATCTTTAAAATATGGGCCAAGCACTCCCAGAGTACAGAGATGGGGAGACCTGGTCTCTGCCCCAGGGAGCTATCTGTCTAGGAGCGGGGAGACTGCTTATGGAAGGGTCCTTGACAGCCTCATCAGCTGAGTATAGCAAGGAGATCAAAAAAGGAGACATCACTGAAGCTTCCAAACCATTGTACTCCGAAGGCTGCATAAGGGTGGAAATCACGTCTGCTTATTCACAGCCAGTGCCTAGCCCACTGGAAGAGCTTAATACACACTTGTTGAATGAATGAATGGTTAAATAAAATGAGATAGTCCAAGGAGGCTTCCTGGAGGAAAGGGAATCTGAACAGGGCTGTAGACGATGGTCAGGATTTGACCAGGCTAAGCAGAAGGGAGTTTATCCGAGGCAGCTGTTAGCCTTGTAAAGCAAGACAGGAAAGGGGACTATTTACAGCAGGGATGTTCTGGACAAGGGCAGGAGGGAAAGTTCTTCTGTTGCTCTCAGGATAAAGGCCAGGCTCTGTCTAAGCTGGTTTTGCCCACCACTTTGCTACTGTCTCTTACCACAATGTCCAGACCCTCTACCCTCTGCCGACTCAAGCAGTTATTTGCAATCCTTGGAACAAACCTCTTATTTTCTCTCCTCCAGGCCTATAAACATTCTCATCCCCTTTGCCAGGAAGGCCCTCCACCTTCCCCTCTATGTCAGTGGTCTCCTGCTCTCAGGGTCTTCCCTTCTCAGAGCAGTCATCCCTCCTCAGCATGTCCACTCTGCTGTCGGTTTGCCTCATGCTCACACTCATCACTGTTCTCTGGCCATCTTTAAGCCACACCAGATTCCTCCAGAGACTGTCAACCATGGCCAGAGACAACTGACCATGACTTCAGCAATGTGGCCCAAGGTCAGAAGTGGCTGGCACCCATGCGGCCAAAGCACAGCCGTCAAAACCGAGATTGTGCGGTCCCAAATGGCCTCGACCTCATCTCACGTAGACTTTTCCTTTTCGTCTCTAAGTGGAAGAGGCATGACTTACCAAGCTTTTTCTATGAGGCGTTGGTGATCTCTGATCACACTGGGCAAGCATCTTTTGTGGACGTGGCTTTCCCATTGGTCTGGAAGCTCCTTGGAGCTGGAGAGCAAGTCCCATTCTCCTTTGTATCACCAATTCAGCACTATCCCAGGCACATGGTAGGGCTAATAAATAATTGTTTATTTGGTTAGTTAATTGATCACAACCCCTTAGAAAAAGTGTCATCATAAATTCCAACCTCTACCCTCAATCTTGAATGGGCTGCAGGCAGGGATCCCCACACCTCGAGTGTAAGCCCAGAATAGAACATAATACCAGAAAGAATCAGATTCGTAAGAATAAGACAGAGTAAGTGGGAAGCAGATTCCCAACTAAACTTTACACGCTTAGAGATTAAAAACGAAAAGGCTTTAGAGAGCACCTAGCCCAAACCCCCATCTTAGATAGGGAGCTGAGACTAGGATTTGGAAATTGTATGTCCAAGATCACAAGACATCTCTTGCATGTCAGATCCAGACACTTGACCTTGGTCTCAGGTTCAGCGTTCTCTTCCTCAACCACCACTGCCTCTTCCCAAGAAGAGACATTTGTGTCAGACCTGAGTTCAAATCCTGAGTCTGCTGCATAATTGCTGTTCGGACAGGTACAGCTTCCTTGAATTATCTCCTTGTGAAAGAGAGGTCTACCGCCTGCACAGGGCCAGCGTGTGAACTCAAGGTGACCTACACTGTGCCTGATCCAGTGGCCCCCAGTAAATGTCAGGACTGTCCCCTTGCTCCAGTTCTTGGGAATCATTCTTGCCGCTTTGTCCTTTCGTTGGCTCTTAGAAAATCATAAAGCCTATGTAGAAGGACCTCTAGAGATTCCCAGGCCCGCTTCTCTGCGTTTATTCAGGACCCATCCCTTCCTTCTTCCCCAAACACCCTGTCCTCCCTGAACTTCTGAGGAAGGCACCGCACTGTGTAACTCGTGCCAGTGGATACAGGTAGGTAGGGCCTCCCTTCTTCTTCAGATCTAGCCCAGCACTTCTTGCTGCAATTTCGGGATGAAGCCATCTTCTCTATTTTGCCCTTCAGGAGGATACAAAACGCTCCCTTTTTCCTTCCTCCTTTCTATTTCTACTCTAGGTGTTTATTCTTCAGTGTCCTAACTTCTCCTCCCTTTCTCCTTCCCCCGGGCTGCAGGAGCCACCTCCGCCCCTTCTCTCTGTCGTCTCCTCTCCCCATTTCATCTTTAGATGCAGCCACATGTTGTCACAGCCCCCTCCCACACCATCCCCCAGGACCCAGACAGCTCAGCCTGGCTCTGTGCCTGCCTCTGGCCGAGTGCTTATCTCTGCCCACCACCCACAGTTTCTGCGGCAGGCAGGCAGGGCAGAGTGAAACCAAACAAATGAAGTGAGTCTCAGGCTGGGTCCTGCCAGCTCTCTCACCCCGTCACCCACCTGTCTGTTAAGGGGCTGCCCTCCAGGCTCCTCCAACAAAATTCCAGGGATCCCTAGGGCCTCCACCCATTCCACAGGATGGGGGTCACTAGCTCTCCTTGCCCCAAACCCCTCTCTCTGGACTGCACCGGCCCCTTTGCCAGAAGAATTCCAGGGCAGCCTGAGGCAACCTGCCTGCAAAACAAAGCCTGTGCCGAGCTACTGAGCCGCCGCCGGGTGCGCCAAAGGGTTTCAGTTTGATCCCAAAGCTCCCAGCATGGACCAAACCTCATAAATCATGGGGGAGTTTGGGTTGTTGTTTTAAGAGCAGCCTGTCTTTTCTTGTTTTGGCTGCCTCCCTGCTTCTTTCCCTCTACTCTCCCTTTCTCCCTCCTGGAATTGGAGAAGGTCACAAACGAGGGGCAGGCAAGCAGGACCGGAAAGGAAGTAATGGGTTGATTTAGCAGGAACCACTTCTCTGCCTGGCCATGTCCATTGACCTTCGGTCTGACTAGACCACATTGATATTCCAGTCCTGCCAGCCTGGGGAACCGGCAAGACCTTGTGTTCAGGGAGCGTGTTCCAACTTTGTCAGCACCTTCACTTCCATTAATCCATTTTATCCCCCTAGCAGCCCTGGCTAGGGCATAAAGTGAGAGACAGGCGTTGGAAGTCACCAAGGTCAGCTGCATCCAGGCTAGACTCCCTCCTAGCACACTGGCTTCCCAGGCTTCTGGAGTCGGCCCTTTGCAATCAGACCTTCTTCCCCTCAGAAAGTGAGTCTTCCGTGGACCCCCAGCAGGGGCTCCCAGATTGAGAGCTTTGACTTTGGTTCAAAGTCTGACTCTACCCCTCTAATGACTGTGGAGCCTTGCACAAGTTACTAAGCCTCTCTGGGCCTCCACTCTTTATTGTAAGACAGTGTAATACTAGCACCTGCCTCACAGAGCTGTTCTAAGGGCTAATGGATTACTAGAGGAGAACAAGACAGACCTACTCGGGGTGGGGTGCGGGGTGAGCCCCGATAAGAGGAAACGACACTTGAGCAGCTATAGGAGATGGCGGGATTGGGAAGAACATTCTAGGCAAAGGGGACAGCATGTGTGAGGGCCTTGGGGCCAGAAGGAACATGACATGTAGCAGAAACTGAAGAAAAGCAACATGACTAGAGCCAGTGAATGGGGCTCTGAGATAAGAGGTAGAGAGTTAAGTAGGACCAGAGTTAGGAGTCGGGGCTCTATATAGAGCATGACGTATGAAAGGGCTCTGTGTAGTGAAGTGGCACGCTCCCATTTTGGTTGTCAGAGCCCACTCTGACTGCAGTGTGGAGAGCAGCCTGGTGGTGAAGGGGTCAAGAAGGGATTGCATCGTTAGGAGGGTCAGCGGTGATCAGGGTGACAGGTGCTGGTGCCTTAGATTGGAGAAGTGGCCACAGATGGAGAGAAGTGGCTGAGTTGAGGCATGTTTGGGAAGGCGGGGCTTAGAAGGGACACAAGTGAAAAAGCTTTAAGTAGTTCAGGGGGTGTTAAGCTGGGTTTGACTTGAGGAGTTGGTGATGGGTGGGTGTGGAAGAATGGATTTGAGGGTGATGTCAAGATGCCTCTCCACATTGAGGCTAAAGCACCTGGTAGATGAAGAAGGAGAATGTAACATTTCCAAATATTCCTTCCTCCAATCTTCTGAAACACCCTCTTCTGAATGTGTACCATTTTGCCTTTAATGAAGACTTGGAGTGCTGGTCTTAGAACAAAACAGAAGACTCCTGAAAGCAGGTTTGCTTTAGCACAGAGCAGAGAATGACGATTGCTTCCCTGTCCTAAATTCCATGCTTCCATCCCAGAGTGTTCAGGGTCTGGGTCGAGATTAATCCTGGCTCTACCACTTCCTAGCTAGGAGATTTGGGGTAAATTACCTAAATTTTTCTGTACCTTGTTCCCTCTTCTGCAAAATGGGGATAACAGGGTAGTGCCGACACCATAGGTTATTTTGAGGACAGTGTGAGATTGTGTTGAGCACACTGTAAGCTTTACCACTTCCAGGGTGAATGTTCATTGTCACCAGCTCCTTGAGTCACACCAAGCTTACGACCCACTAAAACCCTAAAAGCTTTCCTACACATGCCACTTCGAAGCCCTGCCTTCAGAATTCTGTGTTCATGCACTTGGAATTTTAGACTCAAGTTCAGGGCCTGACATTTATCCCTGTTAAATCTTGCTTTGTCAGAGACAGCCCGTGGCACCAGCCTGTCAGTTTCCTTTTTATTTTGATGAGGGAGAGGTCACGTGATGCATGCTAAGTTCATTTTTGTGGCCACGTGGGCATCCATGGAGGATGCTTTTGCTGTCCCCTTGCCTTGTGGTGTGTGGTGCCTGGACTTGGGAGGTGGGGACAGGGAGAGGTCGGGGCTGAGACGGAGCTGGGGATACAGCCGGACACTGCCTTGGCCTGAGGTTGATCCTTCTCCCAAGTCAAGCACTGCCTTTGAGCTTTGAGACATAGGGACAGAGGAACCTGTTCAATGTCACCGAGTGGGTTGGCTAGTGACAGAGGCCTAGGGCTCAGGCCATGATTCAGTTCTCTCTCCAAAAGCCCCCACTTTATGGTCTCACCCCTTTCCAAAACACCCTGTCACATTCCTTGACCTCAGAGCAGAAAAGAACATGGGCCAGGGGGAAAGAAGTATCCAGCTCCATAGAGCCCTCTCTAACTTCCATGGAGGGTGTCTGTGCGCTCACACCTTTGAGTTTAGCCACCCCCCTGACCCCTACACACACACCTACTGCTCCTGTACTAGCAGAACAACATCTTTCATATTGGCTGGGGGGATTTGTGCTCTGCCCCACTGATGCTTCTCTTCTGAACCTTTCCAAAGTCCCTGTTCCCCCCATCCCCCTCACAGTTGCTTTCTTCACAGAGGTCAATGGCTTTGACATTCATGCATTACTGAGCCTTTTCCTGTGGAAATCTCTCTTCCCTAACTTCCCGAGGGCAGGTGAGTCTCCCATCAGGCTGAGAGCTCCCAGGGCAGGACTTCGTATCCCAGGAGTTCCTCTCCTCTTCCTGCTCTCCAAGCACCTACTGGCCTCTCTGTTCATGAAGGGACCTGAACTTGAAGGTGACCATGTCACTTAGCAAAAGCCTGCAAAGAGCACCACACCTAGAAGCAATGGCCCGTTGATTCCGTAGTCCTCTCAGACTCCAGGAGAGCGGGCAGGGGAGCGACACATTTGGATGCCAGGCCTGCGTGGCTGCCTTTCAGGCCAGGCATAACAACATGCCTTTGGTACAACTGGAAGACCTAACTAGACCCCAGAACCAATGGGCGCCTTGGTCCAGTGCCCACCACTGGTTTTCTTCTCCCATGAATGCACTCCTTGTTCACCATCTGTGCTGTGAGGTATTTTTCCAGGTGGTAGGTTCTAGGGAAAATTGAATTCCCCTAACAAGCCAGTCTTGCAAATCACTAGGAAGGCAGGGAGAGAAGAGAAGGCAGCTCCTGTTAGATTCTAATACTGGCCACCCACACTTTAACCCTCGCTGGACCAAACTGCCCAGACTAGAGAATGGGATAAAAGTTCCAGAAGTTACCTTCTTTGTCAAGTTTCCCATTCCTCAAATAAAGCTTAGTTAATGGTCTCAGCCAATTGGTGGGTCTGCTTGGAGAGGACCAGGGGGAAGGGAGGGGCTGAGACAGATAAAGAGAAGAAGAAAAATAGAAACCGTTTATATCTGTATAATGCTTTCGATCTTTTCAAAGCACTTTTCACCTATGTAAACCCAACATTCATTATGTGCTGTTGTTATATACCCATTCACCTGTCAGACTTAGGGAGCACCCACCATGTGTCCGGGCTTCTGCTTGAGGGATGTAATGGTAGTTAGAACTTGAGGAGATAAAAACCTGGGTGGGGGGAGACAGAGTAAACAAATGACGAGGCCTTAAGGTAGAAAAAAGAGTAATGGGGACCACAGAAGGAAAACCCACCCTATGATAGGCATATGAAGGGCTTCACAGAGGAGGCAATGACTGATCTGGGCTGCTCCTGAGAGAGGAGTGAAAGAGGACAGGTGAAGAAGAAAGTCCTTCATTTAGTCTAGCCCAGCTCTCCTTACAACCGATGCTCATCAGCAGAGAGCAGCTGGAATGGTGAAAAGCTTAGAAACAACAGTATACTGGGAAAAGATGAAGAAACACTGGAGTTTGATCTGCAGAAGAGACCTGGAGATAAGGAACAGCCTTGTCATTATTTGAAGGACCGATGGGTGATATAAAGACAAAGTGGATGCTCTGTCTGACTCCGGTGAGGGGAACCAGGGCCAGGAGGTAGAAAGGACATTTTGAGCTCATTAGAGAGAGACAACACGTGATGTAGTGCAGACAAATCAGTCAGGGGTGATGTCCTTCCCGCCAAGAGAACATTTGATAATGTCTGGAGATGATTTTGGTCACAACTGGAGGGAGGGTGCTATTGGCATCCAGCAAGTAGAGGCCAGGGATGGTGCTACACATCCTACAATGTGCAGACGTCCCCTCAACCAAGAGTTCTCCAGCCCCAAATGTCAACAGTGCCAAGGTCAATGTAGCGGATGTAGTGGAAAGAGCACAGGTTTAGGGTTCTAATTTCAAACAGCAGCATGCTGCTTACTAGTCTTGAGACTAGTTATTGAAGCTGTCTTGTAAATGTCCTTACCTGTGAAATGGGGGTAATAGAACTGAATTTGTAGGGTCAGAGTGCCATTCAGTGGGGTCTTTCTGTACAGTACAGTACAATACAGTGCCCCGCAAAGTGCCTGCTATAGAGAGGGTGCCCAGTAGTGCCTGTTATTATAACATGAGGAAGATTGTGTTTCCTTTTCTTCAGTAGGACTTCCCCATAATGTATCAGAGCACCGGAGATGTTGAGAGCTGTAAGGAATTTTCTGTCCCTGGGAATGCCTAACCCCCTGCAGGGATGCTGTAGCGGGGTTTTCAGGACTCCGTGAGCTACTCGGCTACATGATGTGTCAGTCGCTTGGTCTTTCCATTCCAGCATTTCTCTGAAGGGGGATCCTGACATCTGTGTTATAGCCCAGCACCCCCACGGATTGGAGGGATGGAACTCTTCCAGAAACCAAAGACCTGATAAATGAGTCCTGATGAAAGTGGACCAGAACTTGAATAATGCCCCTACCCCGTCTTATCCCACTCCTTGGCATCTGGCC